CATTGACAACATGCTTGATATTTTGGAAAATCAATGATTCTAACCTATCCAACAATCTCTCTCGAGACTTGCTGGACCTATTCATGTAAACCACCCGACTATATCTCTGTGACGAATGTGAATTCACAAGAATGCATGTATTTTTATGCCTGCAAAGGCAGCAAGTTGTTTTGAAAAAAATAAATTTTAATTTTTTTTTTAATATTAATGGGCAGGCTCGCCCAGGCCACGGGCCGGCCGGGCTCTAGCCGACGGCAGGCCAAGAAGAAAAGTCCCAGAGAAAAGCCCAAAGAAACTATCAGCAGGAAGCAGCCTAGAAACACAGACCACCAGCCTAGGTGGAGGAAATCGAGAATTTGACCTAAAGGCAGATAGAACGGCAGAAATACAGTAGAAAAGCAGGAAGCAGCACATGTCTCAAGTCAAACCAAAACATGTCAATAGCAGAAAATCGAATAGAGGCAGGCACCAGTCAAAATTAGCAGAAATTTGAATTTGAAAAATACCCACCAGATCGATACATACAGATACACACACCAAACCACTAGAAAGATGGAAAAACACCAAGAACACGCACCAAAATACCCAGAAAAGAGTAGCAGAAACTCAGACCAACAGCCGGCAGAAAAACTCCCACACAGCTAGTGGAAAATGCTGCTTCCAAAAGTCAAAAGTGCATTGAATCACAGAACAATCAAAACGGATCCAAAAGAGCAGCCCGCAACCTGAACCAAGAATAGAAACTGCCCAAGGACCTGACTGTGAACCAGGGCAAACGAAATCTGCAAGCAATCTGAGCCAAAGTGCATGAACCACAAACCATGAACTTTCACAAGAAAACCAACTAAATAGTAAGCTGAAAACCACCCAGAACCTAGCTGACCAGAACCTGCGTGAAGTTGACTAAAACTGGTCAGAAAACACAGTTTAGCCACCTCCAAGAAGCACGTCTCCACTCAACCAAAAAAACCTTGATACAGTCTGAAATAGTGCTTGAAGAAACTGTCCCCACCACACAAAGCTAAAACTAAACATGTTTCAAGGCTGGAAAACTAAGCCATAAACGATATGGATAGTCCTCTACCAATCTTGAGCAGTTAACTGAACCCAGAAAAACGAAATGGTTAAGAAACTGACCAAAATGAATAGAAGTTGTAACCAGAACTGTTGACCTCGATTTCACCTAAATGATTAAGTAAAATCAAGAAAAGAAGCAAGAATGCTTAAGAAACCAGTATGCTTAATTCGAAGTTCCACAAAAAGGAAGCAAAAATCGAACCAAAACACAAAGAAGTCTCTAGAAACCAAGGCACTCAAGTGGGATTTTCTCTCACTAGAGTTGA